TACAATATTGTTTTTGTGTCTATTGTATCTGACTTTCATTTTTATTTAAATAATCTAAACCAAATATAATGTAACTAAAATGTATTTCCTTTTTAAATCATCTAGTATTTCATAATGACAGGCAAATAGCTGTCAGGTATTCAATGAGGAGGGTTGGGATGACAGCTGCTAGAAGGCGTTACCTGGAGCTTATCAACAAAAATGCTCATATATCCATGTTTTGGTATTCAGACTGATTGATTTGCAGAGAGCTCTGAAGCTCTGCGCTTCCAACTGGAGAAAAACATTGTTCAATGGGTAGAAATGTGTCTGAGCTGTCAGCAGAAAAGTGGTGGACTGAAGCTGTAGAATTCACCAACTAATGTGAAGAAAATTGCTTTGTGGTTTTGACAAACTGACAAAGTCAATCTATATTTTCTGCACAACTCCTCAGGCATCAGGAGGGCCTCCAGTACTAAGCTCAAGTGTTGAGTCTAGGCAATATATGTTATTAACTATGTGACAGGGGAGATTATTACAGTTCAAATTTAAAAATAATAATAATCCTTGCATTTGATATTTTTTGATATTTGCATTTGATATTTTATCACCTCTTTGTTATGCCTCAAAGCGCTTCACAGAATATACTGTAAAGTGAATATTTGTGAGTGAAAATAAATCAATAATAATAATAAGTTTAAGGGTAGGAATATGACAGTAGTAGGTTTCCCCCTGTTTTGTCTTATGGGCATCAAGATCAATAACCCAGCTGAGATCAATTTAGACAGCACAGATCAAGAATTGAATTTGGGAAGTGCCTGGTCTATATGATCCACTACCTCAGACCAGACTGGGTGCATTTATACAATACAAAATTACATTTGTATAGTGCCTTTCACGTTGGGACTCCCAAGGCCCTGGACAGTCAGGGATTTGGAGTTCATGGAACAATAGAGAAAGCTCATTGAATGAATTCCTGATCTTGTGTGGAACCACGGGAGAGGGAAGCAAAGAAAGATCATCAGTCTGGCACTATAACATGCCCACAATGGGATATAGATGTATTGTGCTCAAGGTTGTTGTAGCGAGTTTTTAAATCAGTACATGTTTATTACACAAAATGAATAGTTTACCTTGGCAACATAAGGAAGATTTTCTAACTGTAATAAGTACATTATAGGTCAAGACATACGGAAAGTTTGTGTGCTATTACTCCTTCATTAACTCTCAAAGAACATAACCACGGTATTTGAATCATAGATCTACTACAATCTGAGCCCTGCCCAGTCTGCTATTTATGACAATAGTCAGGCTAACTGTGTTTGGGACCAGATAATTATTTATTGGGGACATATCCTCAATAAATATTTGCCATCATATTTGAATTAGTTTGTGAATGTTGAATGTAAGGAGAATATTTATATTCATATTGATGAATTCATTTTAGAGTGCCAACAAGTCTATAAATCATTACAATGCACATTTTTAATGCTGACAACAGTCCAACCATTCGGTCCAACCAGTCTGCTGGTGTCTATACTCAAAATGAGCTTATAAGGGATTATATCAAATGTAAGGATTAATATTCTTATTAAACCCTCTTTCACATCTGCTACTGGTTACCTTAGATTTATGCCTCCTGTTTTAGACTCATCAACAAGTGCAAACAACCCATTAATATTCACTTGATTGAATACTTTCAGCATTTTAAGCAACTTAAAATAAGTTGTTTTGTTCCTTCTATTCTCTCCACTATTCTCTTCTGGATCCTGGAGAACTTAATATGAAAAAGGCAAGGTGAACCAATATAGAATTAATGACATCACAGGGAATAGTGAATATGTGGACTAGGGCTGCCCAGGGAACTGGTGGAGGAAGGTTCTGACAGCAAATTCTAAAGGGATTTAGATTCTTATTTGGTAAAGAAATTGATTGAAGGTTATACAAAATCCTGTAATTTAGTTTCTTTGTCTTTACTTTTTGTTTTATCTCTATGTCTTCCAGAGCTTGCTGTGAGGCAGACCTTTCTAACATCTTGCTTCTCTCTCTGCTTCTTTCTTCCTGCCCCACTGTTAATTAATTGGGGAAGAGAATGGAGCATCTTTTGTTCAAAGTATTTTTCATTAGCTGCTGTTTACAGGTTGCTTTATCACCTAATGTAAAGCTGCCTGTAGAATCCTGTAGCTCAGTGGTTAGAGCACTCACCTCGCAAGTGAGAGGACGGGGGTTCAATTCCCAGCAGGGCGAAATGGTGGGCAAGTTTCCTTACTCCAAATTCTTCTGTTTACCTAGTAGGAAGTCGATTGGCAGATCGCATTTCCATGGAAAATTCCTTAAAAAAAATTAGTGATTCAATCCACGATTGTTTGTTAGACACTGCTGTGGGCAATTGGCTGCTGCATTTTGCCCACAAAATCTACAGTCAATTCACTTTACAGTATATTCCGTGAAGCACTTTGAGATGTCTCGAAGACGTGGTAAGGCTCTATATCAAATGGAAGGACTATTATTATTTATTTATTATAATAGCTCAGAGGATTGCCAGGCCTGCATCATTTGATGTGACCAAGAAAGTTTCTGACATACATTTTGTGTGCAAAGCAAGGGGTGAAGGTCGAAAATAGGTTAACTCATTAGCAATCTCCCCTTCCAAGACCCAGCAATTCCGAAAAGACTGACAAGGTCAGCAGGGTCCGTCCCCCACAACCAAGATTTGCCATCCACTGGGCAAATGAACTGATCAACATCAACCAAGGTAAAATCCACACCTACAATATAAACCAATGACTGGGACAAATCTATTATGTTATCTGGCAACATGTTGTTCCATTGGAAGCTGCTCTTTGTACATTGCTGATGATCAAAAATACATGTTATTCGTCTTTTATTTCCATATTAGAAATATTCAGTTTTTCATTTCACTATATCAACAACAACAAGATTCCATTTATAGAGCGCCTTTCACGTCGGGAGGATGTCCCAAAGCGCTGGACAGTTGGGTCAGGACCCGAGCAGGGGGAAATGGTCAGGGTGAGGGGAGTGAAGGGAGGGGGCGAGGAGGGGGTAGAGAGTCGAGAGGGGAGCTGAAGGCTCGGTCAAAGAGAAAGGTCTTGAGACCGGCCTTGAAGGAGGAGAGGGAGGAGGCGGCGAAGGCACTGGGGGATGGAGTTCCAGAGCCTCGGGGCTGAGAGGCTGAAGGCCAGACCACCGATGGTAGGGCGGTTGGGGCGGGGGATGTGGAGCAGACCGGAACCAGAGGAACGGAGGGTACGGGCAGGTAGGTAGGGGGATAGTAGGTCGGAGCGGTAGGAGGGAGCAAGGCCGTGAATGGCCTTGTAGGTGAGTACCTGAGTGATTTGTTTTATACCTTTTCATTCAGTAATCTTCAATTTACTTTTCTACCAGCAAAGAAGTGAGGAGGTTGCTTAACAACCAAATGTAATTTTTCCTTGAATGCATCATCTTCATAGCAAAAAAGGATAGATTTATTTTTGCTGAATCTCTGCTGGCTTTCTAATATCCTCGGAGAGTGAAACGAAATGCAGTAGAAATGTTTTGCATTACAAAACTGGTTTTGTAAGTCTTTCGACATTCTTCACTTGAGTGACCGATTATTTTTAAGTTCAAATACTTACTCAGTGGAAAATACAATATTAAAAATGATAAAAATAATAATAATTGAATCATAATTCAATTAGCTGAATTTAAAAGAAAATGGATACAAAGAATGCATTGGGTACCACCAATTTGATGTGATGCTCTTTGGATATTAAACTTTGATTGCCAACAATGTTTCTTTCAATTAGCATTATAAAGAATTAATTCTGATCTTGAAGATTAAGTGGGCAATTAATCCATTTTCAAAACTCAACACTATAGATTCCCTGTTAAAAATATTGCAATGTTTTTACATTAAAATATTTTACATCATAATGCTGTTGTGTACCCCTAGCACATTGTATCTATCTTTAAATGATTTGTATATATATATTTTTAAATATTATTGGTCTAAAGGCAACATATGTGATTGTGAAAGTCATGTAATGAGAAGATTGTGAGCCAATGATTCATAAACAGGGTTTTCATTTATATAACCACAAATTACATATATTTGCACACTTGAGCTGAGAATTTAATTTTCACAATCACATATTGGCTTTTGGAGTATCCAAAACCTTTGTATTTCCAGGTCTAGGTGTCAGTTGCCTCAGTTAGTAGCCTTGCCTGGAGGTCAGAAGATTGCGCTTTCAAATTACATATTCCAACATCTATCTCTGGGATTTCTATGTGTAGGCGGGATTCATGGAAATTTCATGTCAGGACAAGGGCCCAACGCACTGAACAGTTGAGACGTTACACCCGAGCTAGGGGTAGGATTCGGCAGCAGTGGGAGCCCCTGTGGACTGAGGGTGGCGAAAATGACTCAAAGAGGAAGGGCTACCCACTATTGAATAGTTGGAACCCATACAATCTCTGTTGACACTGTTCATATAGCGCTTTTCACGAATTCTAGACAACAACAACAAAATTATATTTTATGCCTTTCATGTCGGGAGGACGTCCCAAGGCACTGGACAGTCTGTGTTTCGGACCCGAGCTGGGGGAGGGTCTCAAAACTCTTCACAGAATATACTATAAAGGGAATTGACTATATTTGTGAGTAAACCGCGCAGACAATTGCGCACAACAGTGTCCCACAGCCTTGATTGAGTGACTAAATTANTTTTTTTATTGAAGGATTATTATCCCCAGAAAAGCGATCCCCCAATCAACTAATAACCGGGTTCCTACATACTCCTAGGTAAACAGAGGCGTGTGGAGTAAGGAGACTTGCCCACATTTTGCCCTGTTGGGAAGAGAACACAGTATGATTTACAGTACATCCTGTGAAACGCTTTGAGTCATCTCGCCAAGGACTATATTCAATATTGTTTATCTGTGAACCAATTGAAAATGGAAAGTGTACAGGGCTTTTTCCTTGGTGGGTCCTGTCATTGATCTCTCCCTCCTTACTCTTTCAGCTGATTTTTGCAAATCTGTCGTTGAGACATTGCAGTCTACACCATCTCTCAACTTCCTGTGGAACACTATCCGTCATCTACTGATGGGAAAGATAGTTTTCACTCCAGATACTCCTGTCACTCGTCGCATTGTTCAAGAGGTAACCCATAACACATCTTTCTGTTGATCCTAGCAATAACTATCTAGCAATGAATAACCACCATTGTCTTAGAGGCAAGGCATCCCTTGTCTCATGTGCTCATTTAATCCAGGGAAAACATGAACACTTATTCACAAAGTGTGCAAGCTATTAAAGCATGGGGCATGATTTTTGGAAGAATTAAAAAATATATTTTTGAAGAGGAATGTTCTCCCTTTTCTCTTCCCCTCCCCCAACAAACTTGTTCCCACTCACTCTTTTTAAAATGCCTTAAGATGTTTCACTTCGTAAAAAGCTTTACAGAAATATAACTTGTGGTGGAGGTGGTTGTTGTTGGAATATGGTTCTATATCAGTTTGGTGCCCCCTTCCCAACACGTGTCCCAAATCATAAATCTGCTTTTCCAAGCTTAGGGATAAAATATTATTCTTTGTAAACTTGAAATAGTAGTACAGTATATATTACAACAAAGCAACAACAACAACTTGTATTTATAAAGCACCCTTTTTATATGGTAGTATCCCGCAGGGCTTCACAGTGGCAGAGTCTGATAATGAGCTAAGGGGAGAAGGGAGTGGGGAGGTGACCATAACCATGATCAAAAATGAAAGTTTTTAGGCTTATGTAATCGGCATTATTTATTGTCACATGAACCTGATTTTTTTGTTGAAGAAAACATGCAATCTTTCTCCAGTGCATTATTACCTTACATATTTACCCGAAGGTATGTGGAGTCAGGATATACGTTTTAAAGATGAGCAAAAAGGCCTTCAAAATTTATTACAAGGCAGATTTTGGACATCACTTTTCAATTGCTTGCTTTTTAAAATGATGTTTCCCTTTTCCATTTCTCTAAGGCAAACAGTACTTTTCAAGCAATAGGAATCCTGAAGGAACTTGGAGATTCGTGGGAAGCATGGATTTCGTCGTTCTTGGAAAACAGCACTGCAGTGAATCAATTCCGGGTAAGTATCAGATATGGCAAAATGTTGTTTTAGGTTTTGAACATATTGCATGTTGACAAAACCATGTTCATATATAAAACTGTTTAAATACAGTAGATAAGTTCTTAACTTGCACTTGGCACTCCTAATTTCTACGCTCGTCAAAGAGTGACCCTGAATATATAAACAATAAGTCTGGACACTCCAATACAACAATAACTTGCATTTATATATTGCCCTTCATGCCGAATGGCTGAAAGTGTTTCACAGGACTTACTGTAAGGTGTAGTGACTGTATATTTTGTAGGCAAATATGCTAGTTAAAATTGGTTTTAATAATTTAGAGTTGCTTTTTGCAAGTTGACTACAATAAGATCTGACCTCAAAATAAATTGCAAGTTTTATTACTGAAGTGTTATAGCAGATTATAAAATAGAATAACAATGGTTGAAATTATGCACATTTAATAGTAATGTGGCAAGCGTTTTAAAGGTCTGCGGCTACAAGTATAATATTTTTAGATAAACATCCATCGCAGTAAAGGTAAATGTGTTTTTGGCCACATCAATGGGAACTTGTTACATTGTTATATTTCTATTTGGGATGTTTTAGTTGAAAGTTTCTTTCCAGTAAAATTTAGATTGGCTTGCTTCAAGGGAAGTGTTGCTCCTCTCTTCCCTCCTTCAAGTCCCGTCTAAAGACCTTCCTCTTCGACCGTGGCTTCAGCTACCCTCTCACCCCTACCCCACTGCCCTCCACCACTCCTGACCCCAATTCCCAGCTCGGGTCACAAAATTCCTGACTTTCCAGTGCCCTGGGGCACCTTTCCAATGTGATGGGCACTATACAAGTGTAATTTGTTGTTGTTTTTGTTAACCTGAGCTTTGTCACCCTATGCGTTGTTCAGTTCAGTTCACTGTTCACTGTTCAGTTGGCCAGTGGAAATTGATTGAAGCAAATGATGGTGCAAAATGAATTTTATGCTTAGCAATGATAATATGAATTCCGTTTATCAATGAAGTGCCTCTGAGTCAGAAAGTTGTGGGTTCAAGCCCAATGGTGAGAATTTAAACTCAAAGCCTAGGCTGACACATAATTTCAGTCCTGGGAAAGTAGTGTATTGTTGGAATGGCCATCCTTTGGATGAAATATTAAACAGGAGTTTCATTTGCCTATTAAGTGCCTTGGGACATCCTCCCGTTGTGAAAGGCACTATACAAGTGTAATTTGTTGTTCTTAAAGATCCCATGGCATTATTCAAGCAGTGAAGAGAGTTTGTATTGTTGTCCTGGCCGATACTTCCCCAAATAAAATTGGTCGTTCACTTCATCGGACAATGTGGAGTCCTGTAGCTCAGTGGTTAGAGCACTCGCTTTGCAAGTGAGAGACCTGAGTTCAATTCCAGGCAGAGGGCGAAACCTTGGGCAAGTTTCCTTACTCCACACAGAGCCTAATAATAATCCCTCCAAAACCCAAAACAATAATAAATTGGTCATTTTCAATCTACAACTGTTTGTGGAACATTGCTGTGCGCAATTGGCTGCCGCGTTCGCCCACAAATATACAGTCAATTCACTTTACAGTGTGTTCTGTGAAGCGCTTTGGGACGTCCTCCCGACGTGAAAAGCGCTATATCAAATGCAAGGATTAATGTGCAGAGATAGCTGTGGCGTTTTCCCACAAAATACATAATCGATGCTTTCAGATGTTTTGGTAACATAATAAAGCACTTCACCAAATGCAAGCATGATTATTAACATCATTAACATACTAGCTGTGTTTGCAACTCCAAAATAAATGAAGGTGTGTAACACAATGAAATAATTGTTTTAATGTTTCTGCAAGGTACACTCGTTGCATCTGATTACAAGATGATTAAATTGCTTCCTCATTGCAATGCTTTATTAAGTATGCTGTAGGAGTACATTTTCTATAATATTCAGGAATCTAAAATGAGAATAAATTATAATAATCTTTGCATTGTATATAGCGCCTTATCAAATCGTTGACGTGTCTTGAAGCACTCAACAGAATATATTGTAAAGTGAATTGACTGTGTATTGTGGGTGAAACGCAGTAGCCAATTGTGCACAGCAGTGTCCCACAAACAATTGTGGATTGAGAGAACAATTTTTGATTCTTTTTTGGCGGGGAGGGATTATTATTCCTGGAGAGTGACTAACAATTGGGTTTCTACTTATGGTAAGGTAAACAGAGACGTATGGAGTAAGGAAACCTACCTAAGGTTTCATCCCGCTCCAGGTCCTCTCACTTACGAGGCAAGCGCGGTAATCACTAAGCTATGGGACTCCAGAAATATATATTTGTCAGTAACACATTGTTTCTTGTGTTTTGATTCAGAAATTATTAACTAATCCTGTGTTTGCTGGAACAATTGATCGACATCTGTCTGGTACTGGTTGGAATGCCAAGCAGCTGGCAAGTTTTCTCTACTACAAATTACCAAAGAGTCGCCAGAATAGCCTGCCAAATTTCGACCAGAGGGATATCACTGATGTCATCCATATGTTCACACAGTTCCTCGGGGTTTGTATAATATATATTCCAATTTCTGGCCTGAATATATCTATTTATTTCTCTCCACTACTGTGATCTTCCTGATTTTTTTTTACTGAGATATAGTACCTCGCTTAGTTGGATGAAATATCCAAGGATCCTGGCTGCTATTGTCATCGATCATGATCATGAGTAACAGAGGATTCTTATGATGCTCACGAACATGCATCCATATAGCGCCCTTCACATTGGGTGGACATTCCAAGACGATGGACAGATAAGGGACAACTTGGATGATTTTTTCTTTACTACTCATCTCAAAACAGACTAGTATCAGATCGGAAAATCCAGTGACGATCAGGATTCAGTCCCAGTCTGCATAGTTCAGCTACCATTTAAAATCCGTATGAGCCATCAGGGTTCATAATATCAGTTTTTTATAAGTTTAAATTCTAAAAAGTTTTCAGTATGAACAAGCTGCTGTGAGAAAACTACCAACAATAACACTGAGTTTCGAGATGTAAACATTCTGTTATTGGTCAACTGTTCTAAGGTTTTTGAACTTGAGGACAGTGATTTGCTTCACCGCATACAGTCATGGTCAACGCAACACAAGGAGGCTACCAAGACCCTAGAGACAGTGAATATGAGAGCAGTGAGGATAATCCCGTTGTTAAAGGAATGAGCCTATGATTGGACATACTGGGGCTCTTCGGTCTTGAAAGGAAATATTTCAGAGGACACCTTTAGAGGTACAACAAATTTTAAATGAGATTATAAAAGTAAACCCCAAACAATACTTAAGTATCACCAAGAAAATAACACAAGAGGATATAGGATTGGAACTCAAAAGGGTAATTTGAGGATGGACATCAGGAAATATTTCTTTCCCCAGAGGGTAATTAACGATTGGAAGGGTTGCCAGGAAAGGTGGTTGAGGACACTGGACTCATTAAAAAAAAACGCCTGGTACTGTGATAGTAGAATTGATGTTCTGCAAGGAAGAGATCAAATGGGCCAAAGTGCCTTCTTCATCCAAATTGATCTTGTGATAAAAGTAACGTGATAATATTAAAAGCATCCCTACTATGCTTTTACCATTAGTGAATGTTGAATGTGGGTAGCCTGTTGGTGAGGTGTGCACATTCAATTTGCCATTGTGAGTAAATAGGATATGATGTCATGCCAATTATGTTCCTCACAGTCAGTATGTTGTGAAAGAAAGATGTTCAGGAAGGATCAGTTATGTTCCCACAGAAAAAGAAAGGGGAAAAGACGTATTTTTTCACAGCTGGCTGACTGGGAGCAGAGATTCACTCACTCAGCTCCTGTTTCTCACTTACACTGGATGCCAGAGCACCAAGAGGTAGAGTATCCTGGGTGGTCAAGCAGCGGGAAGCTTGCTAGAAAGTGCTCTCAAATATCAAGCTGTGCAGTTTTAGCTGGTTAAACTCCAGGAGTATCCAAATGTACTCTCTGAGATCCCCAAACTTTGACTCTTCTCAATTTGCACATAATACTCTCTGGGATTAGGGAAGGAAGATGTATCCCTTTCGGGAGAGTATGCATTCCATTCTAGACAAGGTGAAATTTCCACATATATATTTGGAACTCAGTCTGGTTTCTTAAGCTTGGTGATGGGTTTCCCCATGTGTCAGACACCGGACTGACCAATAAAAAAATGGCTGGTTGAAGAACAGCATTTACAGATACCTGAGAGTAGGCTGGATGGTCTTTAATGGGTAATTTGGAGGGATCATAAGAGAGAGAGACACGGATGGACAGACACTGAAACCCATGCTGGTTGTGTAAGGCATGTCCAGACAAATCTAGTCTACGTGTCTTGTTCAGTCACTGCTGTCTGAATGTTGCCATATCTGTTAAATTGTACAAATCTATATGGAGCTTAGTTGTGAATGTATATAATTACTAAAGGTGTTTTCAACTCTCAAGACCACATTGGCATTTTCTGTTCCAGTGCATCAACTTGGATAGGTTTGAAGCTGCCCCAACTGAAGCAGATCTGGTCAACATATCATTTATGCTCTTAGAGAAGAAGAAGTTCTGGGCTGGGATTGTATTCCAGGGGATGGACTCTGAGAAAGATAAGGTACCACCTCACGTTCTCTACAAGATCAGAATGGATATCGACGACGTTGAAAATACAGAAGAACTGGAAGAGAGGTTGGTCATGGGAGATTTTGTTTTGGATGTGGTTAAAGAAAAGTGGAGCACTTAAAAATGGGAAGGTAAATGCATTGTAAGTAATGAGCAAGTCCTGGAAACTGCCCCCAATCAATTCAATAAAGGGAAAGCTGCAGTGTTGTGTAATAAAATACATTCAATAGCTTCTCATATTCTCATATTATATAGATTATTCTCTGCTTGTGGGCAAATTTGAGCTTTAGTCGTGTGACCTTAAAATGGGGAAAAACATATGCTCACAGTGTTGGATTGTAAATTTACACAGAGAGAAAATACAACAGCTATAAATTATCATGTAAATGAAAGAAAGAAAAATCACCTTCTCTCACCCAGTGTTGGTTGGGTAGCAATAAGCTATAACAGAGTTTTGAACTAGTTTTCTGTTTTATTGTGGCACTGAGAAGATAATATATGAAACTAAATCACACTATTAACTGTATGCACTTTGTATAGACTACACTGGGACGTCCTCCTGATGTGAAAGGCGCTCTATAAATGTAATTTTGTTGTTGTTGTATTGTATAGGGAATCTGGCATTCTGCTCAGCATTGGCATTCTGCAATGCTGAGCAAGAGAAATGTGAGCTTGTTAAAGTCAGCAGTAAAGTTTCCTTTAATCATGCCTTTTTCTCACTTTCGAAGTGCCTTAACGATTCCCATTAATACCTAAAATATCACTAAAATCACTAATCCAAGCTAATTTTTTCTTCATATTTTACAGTACAGGTTAATGTTGGTTTACTCCAGAACCACATGCACTAAAAGGAATGTTGACTTTGCAAATTATGTTTTTTTTTAAAAATCTGCCCTTAGGGAGAATTATCAACTTAGTATGCAAAGAAATGAAATTAGCATTGATTAAACAAATTATAGTACAATGATGGGAGCGTTCAGTGAGCATTTTTCATGGCCAATATTAATTCCCACTGCTCCTGTGTTGAAAAGAAAATAATACACACAACTGGAGGGTGCAGAGGATGACCCTTGACAATACAGTGATCAAATTAATTGCTTTAAAGGAAAGTTTGTGAGGTGCAGGATATGTTGATTCTGCTACCATCTTATTCTGACATTATATAAATTGGTGTACAAATATAAATAAAATAACTAAATAATCTTTGCATTGATATAGTGCTTTTCACTTCTTCTCGACGTCTCAAAGAGCTTCACAGAATAGACTGTAAAGTGAATTGACCGTATATTTGTGGGCGAAGCGCAGCAGCCAATTGCGCATAGCAGTGTCCCAAACAGTCGTGGATTGAAAATGACCAATTTATTATTGTTTTGTTTTTTGGAGGCATTATTATTAGGTGCGTGGAGTGAGGAAACTTGCCTAAGGTTTCGCCCTGTCTGCCTTGAATTGAACCCAGGTGTCTCGCTTGCAAGGCGAGTGCTCTAACCACTGAGCCACAGGACTCCGATTTGGGAATCGGAGGGAAATAATAAACCTTAATAATAATAAACCTTGCATTTGATATAGCGCTTTTCACATCGGGAGGACGTCCCAGGCGCTGTACAGTTGGGTCAGGACCCGAGCAAGGGGGAGGAAAGGTAGAGTTGGGTGTCATCCGCATATATGTGGAAGTTAACCCCATGTCTGCGGATGATGTCACCAAGGGGGAGCATATAGAGGGTGAAGAGGAGGGGACCGAGGACAGAGCCTTGAGGGACACCGCACGAGACAGTGCGGGGGCCGGAGGAAAAACCATTTGTGGAGACAAAGTGAAGACGGTGGGAGAGGTATGACCTAAACCACTCAAGGACAGGGCCTTGAAGGTTTAGGTGGGAGGACAAGCGGTGGAGGAGGATAGCATGGTCGACCGTATCGAATGCTGCCGATAGGTCGAGGAGGATGAGGAGGCAGAGGGAGCCCTGGTCACAGATGGTCAGGATGTCATTGGTGACCTTGACCAGGGCAGTTTGTGTGCTATGGGCAGCACGGAAACCCGATTGAAGGGGTTCGAATAGTGAATGGTTGGAGAGGAAAGAGCGCAGCTGGGAGGCGACAACTCGTTCCAGGACCTTGGATAGGAAGGGGAGGTTGGAGATGGGCCGGTAGCTTGATAGCTGCGACGCATCAAGGGAGGGTTTTTTTAAGGTGGGAGTGATGGTGGCAGTTTTTAAGGGAATGGGAATAGAGCCAGAGGAGAGGGACAGGTTGACAATGTCTGTGATATGTGGGGCAAGGAGGTGGATCTGGGAGATAAGGAGTGGAGTGGGGATGGGGTCAAGGGAGCAGGTGGTAGGTTTCAGGGAGAGGATGAGTTTGGTGACAGAGGATGGGGAAACGGGTACGAAGGTGTGTAGGGGAGGATGGGTAGGAGTCGGAGTGTGGAAGGGAAGGGGTGGGTGGTGGGTGGATGTTGGAGGGGAAGTGACAGCGGAGACGATTCCCTTGATCTTGGATTCAAGGAAATCCAGCATCTCCTCGCAGTGAAGGTTGGAGGAGATGACCTGCGCGGGGTGGCGGGGGGGACGGAGGAGTTGGGATGTGGTAGAAAACAGTAGCCTGGGGTTGTTTAAAGTCATGAGAGCTTTAAAGCCCAGCTGAACAGACGGACCTCGGTTTAGCATCTCATCTGAAGCATGGCATCTCCAACAATGCAAAATCCCCCAGCACTGCACCAGAATGTTAACATATGCTTCATGAGGTCCAAGTCCGACATGGGGTTCCAACCCAAAACCTACTGATTTAGGGATGAGAGTGCTACCAACTGAGCCAAGCTGACACCTAAATGGGGAATGGTTGAAATATGATTTCTATCACTGATATTTGTTTACAAAGAGACCATAAATTACTTTAGAAGAGAATTAAATGATTTAAAAGGAGGAATATTAAAGGATGAGAAATTTGAGTCACTAGAGTGGAAATAAACTTGATGGCTCACATAAAGAAAAATACCAATCTAGACGTGATGTGCCAAATGTCTGTGCTGTTGCATTGTATTATTCTCATTAGCTTATTGAAAGTGAATAGTTGGAATGGTGATGGTTTACTTGTGAATTCAATAACAATTGTTTAAATTGTTGATTCAGTACAGACATGGCTGTCATTCTTCCCCGTATGAGTGAAGAGCATCAGAATGTTCTTGTTGCTCCTTATCACTGTAATGCAGGAGTCGAGTCCTTTCTTGCCAAGGTCCAGGGATGTTCAATCAATCGTTGTCCCTTTCAACAAGTTGAGCCACTTCAGCAACTGATGATGGGGACATCAAGAGAGAGGGGAGAGACTGCACTGAGAACATGTTAATAAGAGGCACACATCACATTTTTGTTACTTCCTGTGGTTGATTTTATCAATAACAACAACAAATTACATTTGTATTGCACCTTTCACATCAGGAGGACGTCTCAAGGCGCTGGACAGTCAGGGATCTGCATCCGAGCTGGTGGTTAGGATCAAGAGGGGTGGAGGGAGGGTAGGGGTAGGAGGGTGAACAAAGGCAAGGTCGAAGAGAAAAGTCTTGAGACGGGGCTTCAAGGAGGCAAGGGAGGGGGCAAGTGTGTATAATGATAGATTCAAATAAATTGATCTAGCTCAACCCTCAGGTATCTTTTCTTTGTTGCATTTGTTTTCTGCCTGAGTCTGCTTTACTTTTCACCTTCACCACATCGCTCGCCTATTCTCTTATCTAAAATGCTTCCCCAAAAACAATCATTTAAAACTGTAGCCTCAAGGTGACCATAAGATCATAAGACGTAGTAGCAGGAGTAGGCCATTCGGCCCCTCAAGCCTGCCCCGCCACTTAATAAGATCATGGCTGATCTTCTAACCTAATTCCATTTACCCGCCCTATCCCCATATCCCTTAATCCCTCTATCCTTTAGAAATCTATCAACCTCAGTCTTGAATATGTTCAAGGACTGAGCATCCACAACCTTCTGGCGTAGAGAATTCCACAAATTCACTACCCTCTGAGTAAAGAAATGTTTCCACAACTCAGTTCGAAAAGACTGACACTTAATCTTCAGAATATGACTCCTAGTTTTAGATTCTAAGGTGACGATGCAGTAAACAGCAATGTAATGAAAGACCAAGGTTGATCTCCATTCTTGTTGTATGTAAATGAGGAATATTGGACCAGGAGAGTTTGCTGCTCTTTTTCAGATCGATGATCCACCTAAACCATCATAACAGACAGTTTTTGATTTAATGCCTTGTCTGAAGGACAGGATTTCTAATATTGCAGTATTTCTCTGTGTTGCTGAGCAGTGTCAACCGAGATGATGATTTCAAGTCCTTGTGAGACTCAAAATCATAATCCACTGATTTAGAGGTTAGAATGCTATCAGCGGTACCAAACCAGCACTGATAAAATCACAACTTGTACTTCTATAGTGCATTTTCACATAAGATGAATATCTTGAAGCTCTTCAGAGATTATAGGGGGCACCAAGCACTGAGGAGAGAAATGTAATTTAGGATTGTTGAGCAAAGCCAAGGAAATCGTTTTTGTACAGGGCTTGTATTGTAAGGAGAGAAGCAGCAACGTGAAGGGATATTGGGAGAGAGTTCCAATGTGGGGCTCATTGGTTAGAGGCTCAGCCACCAATGGTGAAACAGGAACAAAAGGCAAGAGTGAGGAACAAAACAGGAACGAACAGTGAACCAGAGTCAGAAGTACTGGGAAACGAATGTTAGAATTGAGCTGGAAAACTTGGCTGAGGCAGGAAGGGGCAAGACTGAGTGATTTGAAGGTTGATGAGGATCATTAAATTAATTCATTAAACCCATTGGAGTCCTGTAGCTCAGTGTTTAGAGCACAAGTTTCCTTACTCCACACTCCTCTGTTTACCTAGCAGTAAGTAGGAACTTGGTTGTTAGTCGATTGGCGGATCACTTTTCCGGGGGGTAATAATCTCTTCAAAAAAATAATAATAATAAATTGGTCACTTAATCTATGACTGTTTGTGGGACAATGCTGTGTGTAATTTAGCTGCCGTGTTTTGCCCACAAAATATACAGTCAATTGACTTTACAGTATATTCTGTGAAGCACTTTGAGACATCTCAAGGACATGATAAGGCGCTATATCAAATACAAGGATTATAGTATTATTACTGGGAGTACTGGGAGTCATTTGAGCCTGGTTCGAAGTGGGGTAGTGGATCATAGTGCCTAATCTGGGATAGAATAAGGGTTTCAGATTTGTAGATAAGTTGAAGCTTATGTAAAGTGGAGTTAGAGAGGTCAATGAGGAGAGAATTGGAAAAATTGAATCTCAAGATGACAGACATGTATGGAGGTATCAGTTCAAGAAGGTATCAGTTCAAGATCGGGGAGAAGGTTGAAAATGTTCTGGAGACAGAAGAAAGCAGTTTTGGTCAAGGATTGAATGTAGGATTTGCAGCAGAGCTCAGCATCACATAAGTCACAGGTTTAGCACTAGTGCAGTTGGTCAGAGCGAGATTGTTGTAGCCAAAAGCAAAAGGAAGAAGGTACTGTTTGCAGGCTGAGCAAGGTAGCTTCAGTTTTGTTGATATTCAGCTGCAGGAAGTTAAAACTCATCTAGGAAAGCAAGTCCTGGAATTGAGGTCGGAAGTAAAGAGATGAGCTGTGTCTCATTGGCACGCATATGGAAACTAACTGCTTTAGATGATGATCATTACAATTATTTTTGATCCACAAAATAAAACCTGATTTTTTTTTCAGGGTCTATTTGTGATATGAAACGGGAGAATTTTTTTCTTTTGCAGGGGCGAATATGCACACAGAAGCGTCTGGATAAATTTGGTGATTTTCTGGGTAAAATCTGTCTTTACCTCTCACTCCCTCTATCTCTCTCTTGAGTCTCTTTCACTCTGTCTCCCTAATTTTCTGTCTCTTTCTATGGCTTTCTCTATCTTAACTACACTGAACAAAACTAAGCCTTAACTTCTCGTGTCTTTAAAAGATCCCGTTGTACTTGTACATGAAATTCATTGAATCATAGAATCACAGCACAGAAGGAGGCCATTCGTCCCATTGTGTCTGTGCCAGCTCTTTGAAAAGAGATTTTCCTATTCAATCCCACTCCCATAGTCCTGCAAACTTGTCCTCCCCAAATAATTGTCTAATTACACACATATGCAGGACATTTAAATAAACACTTAAGTTTTCCCCTTGTAATCTTATGCATGTGGACAAAACTGAATTCACAAGTTTGTGCATGCACATTCCAGGAACATGATGCACATAGCATTATCCCTGACATCAAAAATATTTTTTTTTGCATTCAAATCGGGAAGAAAATCTTTTTTTACCAATTGACTGTCCTCCCCAGAAAGTAGTTTTTTTGGGGGGGTGAAAATCGTACATAAAAATTATCCTATAAATTAATTATCCTGGCAGACTGATTTTTAAAAAATAGAACACCAACAAACTGTTTTAGAATGAAGAGCCATCTTTCTACCATCGCAACTGTAATTCATTGTTTATTATTCTGTTTATCGGAGTCACATTCTAGTATTGTATCAGATTTCTCAAGACCAAATATTTTATATCTTTACTTCAACCTTCAGTTTACCTTCACCAATAGCTCCATCTGCTGGATACTTTTACAATTCAAGTTTATATTTATAAAACGTCTTTCACATCGAGAGGATGTCCCAAGGAGCTGAACAATCTAGGATTTGTACCCGAGCTGGGGGTTGGATTCAGGATGATTGGGAAGGCCAGTGAATCCACCAGGATAGGCTTCAATCCTTTACTACACAATATACAGTCAATTCACTTTACAGTATATTCTATGAAGCACTTTGAGAAGTCTAAAAGACATAAGGCGCTATATCAAATGCAAGGATTATTGTAAACTGTTTTGTAATTGTTATAGTCACTGAAGCTCTTGATATTATGGAAATATCAGCTTGTTTTGGATACACTTAAGTATAGTTATGGGTTTTCACGTGTCAGCTGACCAAAAAAATTATATTATATCCAGAATCACTTTACTTCCAAAAGGGTGACTGTGTTCAGCAATCATTTAGATGCGCAAATCCTTTTGCATTAGCAAGTACTGTGATCTATTTTGCTGTACATTTCTTTGGACTTTATCCAAATAGCCAGCTTGTGGTATTGTTTCTCATGGTTTTGAATCACTATGCTTAGATGTTGTCAACAAATGCCTTTCTGTTGCTTACTAATCTTAATACAATTTTTTTTAATGTGTACAATATTGTTTAGTGGTCAGTTACTTTACAAAAAAAACTTAGATTATTTTTATTCAGTTTGGCAGTGATTCATTCATTGTTTTGTAATCAGAGAAATATTTTTTGTTTCAAATTACCAGTAAAAATTACTATTTTTGATCTTTTTTAAAATTGTTTTGATAGAATATTAAATGCTCTTCTTTTCATTACAAGTCCTTGGTATCCAGGAGCACGAGACAATTCCTACAACGAAATGCCTTACATCTTAGGCGGTTTTGCATATATTCAGGACATGATTGACCATGGAATTATGAAAACACAATTAAATATTAGCCAACCTCTCGGAGTCTATGTGCAACAGATGCCTTATCCTTGTTATGTGGATGATGGGTAAGTACAAAACTCCTTATTAATTATTATGATTTTCATGAAGAAAAACGTCCAAAATGTGTGGATTGGGGGAAGAAAACTATTTGCATTTTTACGCTTCACAGAAAATGGTACAATGCGTTACGCTGTTTCTAGGCAAGTATCAGCCAGTGTGTCAAAAGGTTGTGGGTTTAAGCCCCATGTCAAGACTTGGAACCCGTATAGACTTCACTAACGCACTCTACTGCAGTGATGGGGTGTGCTGCATTATTCAGAGTGTCATTCAATGAGACATTAAACTGAGGTTCTGTCTACTTGTTCAAATGGACGTTGAAGATCCCATGGCACTATTCAAAAAGAGAAGGAAGTTTCTCCCAGTGTGCTGATCAGCAATCCTCCAAAGAAAATTGCCCATTCTCTTCATGTTTATTTGTGGGACACTGCTTGTAAATTTGCTACCACACTCACCCATAAAACACTACACTTTGCAGTATATCTTGTAAAGAGCTTTGAGACATCCTTCTGACAGGGTGATTATTGTGGGATTACTGTTATCCTCCTGGAAAGGTGAGGAGAAAAGTAAGCAGGGTCTCCTTCGGTCAAGGTTGTATTTTGTTAATTGCATTATAAATTTTTTGAAACAAGATTGTATTGGTTTAGTTTTGTGTAAGATAACAAATAGGATTTGTTTATCTGTACTCCTTTTGTGTATGCTGTACTGCTGATTTGAATGATTACACAGGATCACAAAAAAATAATAACATCTCAAAAAATTATATCCACACGGCTCTGTTTACCAAGCAGTAAGTAGGAACCCACTTGTTAGTCAATTGGTGGATCTCTTTCTGGGGTAATAATCCCTCCAAAAAAAGTAATAATTTGGTCACTTAATCGACGAATCTTTGTAGGATACTGCTGTGTGCAATTGGTTGCCATGTTTCGCCCACAAAGTATACAGTCAATTCACATTACAGTATATTCTGTGAAGCGCTTTGAAACGTCTCAATGACATGATAAGGTGCTATATCAAATTCAAGGATTATGTTTATTATGATTATTAGGATTATTATTAAGAAAACAGGACCCAATTAGTCCATGCCAGTGTTTATCCAACACATGAGTCTTCATTCCTCCTAATTTCCATACCCCTTTCCCTCAAGTATTTTACAGAGACCTGCCTAGTAAAAAAATTGCAAGATGATTTAACAGTGATTGTCTTAATTGATATAATCACCAATAAATTATGCAATCACAACTTGCTGTACAGTTACATCAAATATTTTGCAAATCACTGAAAAATGTAAGCATAATTGCAGAAAATTCTATCAATCAAAGCCACAGTTTGGTAATAGAAATTGTTTATGCCATTTAGAGCATAATTTGACTGTGGAAAGAGTATCAGTTTTGTGCCAATATTTATGAATTGAGAATCTGTTTCCCTAACTGACATGTTAAACATTTTACCTGGAGCAGAATGTACTTTCCCGGAGTCATTTCTGTTATTAGTCAACTGGCTCATCATGGTATCTTTTGAAAATATACTGTGCCATTGTTATAAAGTAAATATGTTACTTGTAGAAATAATTTCTAATTGATTACAATTTAGACAACCAAATTCAGCTCATTTCACGTTTTCTCTCTCAGCTGTAAATTTATCTATTTTTGTTTCATTTTCTCCCTGGACTTTGGGAGACTTTCCTTCAAATGTCGGTGAAACACCATTTGTGGAATAAGGTGACGAGGACAATGAGGATTTGTGGCTCATCTGATTTGTATCTTATAATGTGCGTATCCTCAATTAAAACGCCGACACAACCTTCTAAGTACTAGAGTGCTTTGACTTGATTAGATACTTGAATTTCCATGCACATATTTTCTGGTTAGATCTGCTTGTGTAGCTGATTAAGTTTGAGAATGTTCCAAAATATTTTGGTCACAAAGCATCATGCCCTTGCTGATACATTTCTGCAATTTCTTACTTTCACGAATATTGAAAGAGTCATAAGGGCTAGAGATTGGTTATACGTTAAGGGTTAAATGAACTTTAAACTAAATAGATCACATACAGTCCTGTAGTCGGTCGCATACTAATCCCGAATATAGTTCGATAAATCATAAGTTTGAATCGCATAATATCAAAGATTTTAACTGAAAGAAAACGCATTATGCATGGATGCGTGCAAGTGCAAAACTATACTATAGTATAGTGACTTGAGGTTTGCTCTACCCGTGTGTCCATAGCCCAATCAGTGGGAGTAGGGTCAGGTTTTCCCTCGTTGTGCGAGGCCATCACTTGCCGGTCGAGTTCGTGGGTTTGCTGCAGAGATCCCAAGTCGATTGCCCGTCGCTCTGTTGTGCGCTGTTAACTATTTCCGCACAGTCCAACTGCAGTACCAGTGGGGATGATATGGTGGCGTGGCGCGTGGCATGCTTGGCAGTTCGATCCGCAGCCGAATTTCGAGAGCCTGTGGGTCAGACGACTTGGAATGTCCTTTCACTTTACCCAAGTGCAGAGATGTCTGTCGATTGGACAGGAGTCGCCATATGCTGCGCAACAGCTGATGGTGGACTAGCGGCTTGTCATCATTTGATTTAAAGTCGTTGGCCGCGTACAGGGGGAGCAACGTGACCGTGTTGACAACATAAGCACTATCCAACCAGATGTTCGCAGCCATTTCAGCGGTGTTTGTGACAGCCTCGTGGAGAGCGGCAAGCTCAGCATATTGGGCTGAGTGGCATGTACAGTTAAACAGGAGTTCCTTGTCCTCCCCTATCAGGACTGCGAACCCTGTATGTGTTGTGCCTTTGTCGTGGAAGGATGAGCCATCGATATGAACGTCTACTGCTCCTTCCACCGGCCGAGGACTTAGTGCTGTGTGTGTAACTTGAGTTCTGGGAAGGGGGCACTTGTGAGGTTCACCACCGAAGTTTAACATGTGAAGCAACAGCGTAGAATGATGGGTGACTATATCAAGGTCTCGCACCATTAACAACAAAGTTTAATGATTCAGTTGCTGTGAGGAAATGTGAGAGTTCCCTGGATTCAAAAGTAGGCTGAGAGGAGTGTGTGGAGAATGGAGTACCAGATGCTGTAGACCCATAATAAAGGTGAAGTGCTTTACTGCTCACTATGTTGCAAGTAGGTGTCATTCGCAGGAATCAAACCCCTTTTCTACTCCAGTTAATATGCGAGAGGTGAAAGCAATGGGGGTCAAGTGGCCATGGCACATTTGGCAAATTACGGCCGAGAGATTCCCCTGGGATGGAGCCACCTCCAGGTGGAATGGAGAAGTGAGGTCGGGTGAAATGAGGCATATAGCCTGGAAGGCTCCCTGCTTCAGTGCTTCCATTGCCACTGTACGTGTTTCAGTCCATTACTGGAGCAAGGAGTCGTTGTCCCCTTTAAGGAGTTTGTACAAAGATTTTGCCAGCTCAGCAAGAGATGGTATAAAGGATCGTAGGGTGGTTTTGGAGGTGGGTGAGGGCAATCGTTGTAGGATCTCCACCTTGTGTTCATCTGGTGTTTGCCCTGTTTCAGATAGTTGGACGTCCAGGAAGGTTGCATCAATCAAGCCTTTTTAGAGTTAATTTTTAACCCTGCTGCTTGTAGTCACTGGATTACGTCAGCCAGTATTTCCAGATGCTGCTGCTCGTCTGCCTTAGCAATCAGTACATCATCCACGTACTGGAACATGTATTCCGAGTGCACGCAGCCCTTGGGGATTGCTGCCATCCATTTATGAAAGATGGTGGGGGCATTGTGAAACCCCTGGGGAACACAAGTCCATGTATACTGTTGATTGTCGAAGGTGAAGGCGAACTTGTATTGATTGTCAGCCGCTACTGGAACACTCCAAAACTTATTGGAAATATGTTGGGTCGAAAACACTTGGGCAGTCCACGGCAGATTGATTAATAATATGGGAGAGTCGCTAACCACTGGTGCGCAGGAAGGGGTGACCCTGTTAAGGTACCAGTAATCAATCATGACACACCAGCTCCCATCAGGTTTACAGACTGGCCATACTGGAGAATTTATGGTAAAAGTGCCTTTGTGAATAGTTCAACAGTTACTCGATCGTAGCCGCAACATATGGGAGGCTTTCTCAAGGTATTGGGTACTGTCAACACTGTTGGTGGGGAAGACCATTTATCGTTTCTGGCGTGTCCATTCTCCCACAATCTTATTTGTGCTTTGCCAAGATGTCTGGATGATTGCGGAAGAGTGTGGCAACGCGTTTGTTAGAAAAGGTAATGGGGGGGAATTGCTTAAATTTTTTTATGGCATCAACAGCAAAACAGTCAGCAATCGCGGTAGGACAATCCATTATCCCATTTCCGGAGGGGTCCCCAATCCATAAGCGTTGATTAGCGTAATCAACGGTTATGGAGTACGTGAGGAGTATGTCAGACATGAGGATACCCCGCTCATTGGGCATATGCATCGCTACAGGCCTGACTAGCTGGGCAGCATCACTTTTCCTGGTGTTATCATCAAGTGATCGAGCCGAGAGCCCAGAGTGAGCTACGTCCGGAATGAGGCGAGGCCAGAGTGGGAGGAAATTTGGTGAGAGTGGGAATTGCTGCTGTGAGTGTCGTGAGAACTGCTATCGTGAGTACATAACCCAATTTCTTGTTGTTGTTATTATTCAAGTCTTGTAGTAGTTGTTGTAGTTGTTTTAAGTATTGTGTTAGTTAAAATTGCTGATACCATTGGTACATTGGTCTTGTGGGGTAACTTTACAGGGAGCAGCTGTAGCCAATTAGGCCTAGCCAATAACAAGTAACTTATTGATTAAATTAACTTATTGATTCATCAATTAATTAGGTGTTAATTCCAAATTAGTACTGAGCAAATCAAAAACGGGTTGCACCCAGAAAGTATAAACAGGAGCTGTGAGAGCCCAGATTGAGCTACGTCCGGAGTGAGGCGAGGCCAGAGTGTGAGGGAATTTGGTGAGAGTAGGAATTAGGTACAGAGGGGGAAGTGGGGGCAGGCTTTATGTCTTTGTATCTATATA